ACACACACACACACACATCAACACGCGTTTATACACACACACACACATCAACACGCGTTTATACACACACACACACACACACACACACAACGCGTTTATACACACACACACACACACATCAACACGCGTTTATACACACACACACACACACACACATCAACACGCGTTTTATACACACACACGTTTATACACACACAACACACACACCAACACGCGTTTATACACACACACACCAACACGCGTTTATACACACACACACACATCAACACGCGTTTATACACACACACGTTTATACACACACACACACCACACCAACACGCGTTTGTACACACACACACCAACACGCGTTTGTACACACACACACACACACACACAACACACACAACACACACACACACACACACACACACACACACACAACACACACACACCACACACCACACACACACACACACAACACACCACACACACACACACACACACACACACACACACACACACACACACACACACACACACACACACACACACACACACACACACACACACACACACACACACACACACACACCACTATCATCCTTCCGTCTGACGTCACGATGGCCACAGTTCCTGAACCTCAGTTAGGGGTAAAAACACTTTTCGGAGAATAAACGGATTAAATCAGGAGAATAAATTGATAAAGATCAAACAGAAATTAAGAACTTTAAAAAAACTACAAAACAGAGAAAGAAACATCGATACATTCACACACTTCGCTGCTAGCTTGGATGCTAAGCTAACTAGCATTCATTCATTCATTCAGACGGGCAGTTAGCCGGTTAGCCTGTTAGCATCAGGATACGGTTGATGTAGCTCTCCAGCGCGGTCGACATGCTTCCTGCTGGGCTCGTTTATCTCTCCAGCAGTCGGTTTGTTGTTTCCGGTTAGCCGGTCACTAAACGTAGCAGTAACGTAACGGAGCAGATAAACACAGCGACGACACACCGGAACACAGTCAGGAGTAATCGAACACAGAGTTAACGGCCAGGCAGGAGAGGAGAGCGCCGAGCAGGGACGTCACATCCGGTTCACATTTTAACGGAATGTCAAATACAAAATAGTTTAAATCTTAATTTGATATGGAAGAAAAAATCAATTCTAATGTAATCTTCAGATGAAGGAGGACTTTATGATTTAACCTTTACAACATTTAAACAAATTATAAATAATATTTAGATGAAAATATATTTTTTTGTTTCTGAGAATTAATCTCTTGTCAGCATTTTTTAAGACACTGGGTGCATCTGAATTATTATTATTAATAATAATAATAATAATAATAATAATAAATGTAATTTGTAACGCTCTTTACATTTTTGCAAAAAAAATCTCAGAAAAAAAAAACTTTAATAAAAACAAATTTAATCAACTAAACATCTAAGGAAACTAAAAGCACAAGCAGAAGGCTTTGTTAAAAAGCTTTTTAGAGCCCTTTTAAAAGTGTCAGCAGACTGTGGCCCCCTCAGCTGCTCGGGGAGAGCGTTCCACAGACTGGGAGCAGAGGAGCAGAAGGCCTGGTCTCCCATGGGGGGGACTTTAGTCCTGGGGGGGATGGAGGAGGTTGGTGTTTCCAGAGCGGAGGCTTCCTGTGGAGGATTGTGGGGTGAGGAGTTCTTTGAGGTGGGGGGGCACTGGTAGGTGAGAAGGTGACTTTGTATTGAATCCTGAATGAAATAGGGAGCCAGTGTAGAGCCTGAAGGATGGGTGTGATGTGTTCATATTGACACACTCTCATCAGGATCCTAGCAGTGCTGTTCTGGACGTGTTGGACCTTCTGGAGACTCTTGGTAGGGATCCCGATGAGGAGCGTATTTCAGTAGTCCAAAGTGCAAATTAATTGCAAAGTGCCTACACAACAGGTGGACCCAAACAATGCCTACTGAATGACCACCAGGGGTCAGTCTACTGAAGAGTACACACTGCATACTGAACTGTTAGTGAACATTACACTGAAGCAGCTTTTGAGCTGGCCTGTTGTTTACGTCTTCACTCCAAGACCGGCAATGAGTTTAGAGCGGCCTGCTGTCCTGAGATTAACAACCAACTAAGACTACAGACTAACTGTTTCATTCAATTCAATTCAAAAAACTTTATTTGTCCCCGGGGGGCAATTCAAAGGCACACAGAGCAGTAAATTAACAACAGTGCAAGTAAACAAAACATTTTAACCTAAATATAAAGTGCCAATTTAAATACAACTTAAAGCTTAAACTTAACTTAAAAATACAAAATATAAAAGAGTAGATATAAGTGGACAGTGATCGGACTAACAGATGTAAACAGATGTAAACAGAACTATGTGACTAATGTAGTAGTCATACTATATATACTGCCGTTTAGCGCCCTCTGCAGACTCATCCTGGGATTACTCCAACAAACATTTACCTCATGGTCTGAAACTTTGTCCACGTTCAGTTTTATAACTCTATGACAGTTTAAAATGGAGATCAGCAGAGAC